GGGTTCCCGTGCAGAGAAATTCTTTGACCAGGGGAAGATTGGTGACAAGCACCTTCCTCCAGAGCTGACACAGAGAGAAAATCTTCCCCTGGAGCTGGCGCCTTGAATTCGGACTTCTAGCCTACCAGACTGTAAGAGAATAAATGTCTTTTTGCTAAAGCCATCTACTTGTGGTATTTCTGTTATAGCAGCACTAGATGACTAAGGCAGAGCATATTTAAAGCAATAAAATGGCTTAGAAAAAGAATCCATGCATTCATCGAAGATGTGGATTGAGACTGTCTAAATCACCCTTACAGTAGATGGCATTGAGGAACTTAATGAGAACTGGTTTGGCAGAAGTACTAATAAGAAACCACATTGGAGTAAGTGAAAGCGTGCAGAAGAGGTTAGTGACAATATGTATACCAAAACATTTTGAGAGCTTTTCCTTTTGAAGTGCATGATAGAATTAGGATGGGACATGCAATGGAATATGGATATTTACTCCGCATAGTCTTCCCTTTTTTAGATAGATTTTTCTCTGGCTAGATTCGTAAAACTGATGTATTGGCAAGTCATTTTAATATTTTATTTGTTTCAAATCAAATGTATGTCATTGCTTGCAATGAAAATGTCTCATTGTTTTAATTAATACTACCCTGAAAGTCGGTAAGCTGCTCAGTGGATTGACACTGTCCATTATGGGAAAATAGAGGGAATGGGAGACCTTAGGAGAGCAGTTTAGTAGAACTAATATGCAGAAACCATTGTGGAGTAGTAGAAGAGTGAATGAGAGAGGAGAAAATCTCCCAGTATCATTTTTTTGTTTCCACCTGGAGAGTCACTTTCCTTCTTTTACTTTCACTATATTCAGAGTTTCATTTGCTTTCCTTTTGCCTCAGCGCCTCCAAATGCAATGACAGCTTTCTTAGAAAGTTACATAGAGAAAGGGTAAGTGATGTATTGAAGAAATGATGTATGAAAAATAATGGCACAGTCCTTTTCATTTCCATTTTTACTTCCAATTTTGGTACTAATCTGAAGACGAAATAGCAAGTAATTTAGATGCAGCAGGATAAACTTTGTCTAGAAAAATGCTACTTAAAAGAGAAAGTATAAAATTGTTTTAAAGAATCTCAAGCCGGTAAAAACAGGAAGACCTCGTTGCGGTATACGTTCGCTGTGAGACACAGAACAATGAACCAAGAGGCTCAATGGAAATGCCCTGACTGAACAGTCTATGGAAGGTCATTAGTAACTTCAACAGAAGTTTCTGATGGAAGGTAAGTCATCAGGGACTCTCTTGCGGCCAGTCCAGGAACATCGAGCATAATAAGTGTTCAACAGTTTAATGAATTGAACTCAACACAGAAATCAACGTTTGCAAAGCAAAAGTCTTTTTCCTATTTAAGGGTAAAATGGAAAAAAAAAAAAAGGATGAGTAATTTCCCTACTCCTACACCTCCTCTCAACCTACACATATTCAGCGTAACTTTTCTTACATCATCTGGAAGCTACGGAAATATTTGACAGGTGTGCCACTGGTCAAAAGAAGAGGGGGTCACAACTGACAAGCTGTGTTATTCACAAAAACATGCTGGGGGCTTGCGCAGTTGATTGTTTGGGGACAAAAGCCATCAACCTCCAATAAAGGTGTGCTACAAATTCAAAGCTGTGATGAGCTGAGTCATGTCAGTCTGGTGAAGAGTGAGTTACTGAAAGTCACTTTCCTTCTTTTAGTTTCATTTCAAGATGTGTAGCTGTGGGCACATTGAGCCAGAGGGTAATCTAAAGATGTGTTAGCTAGCTTGAGAGGTGAGGTGGTGCTGGGGAAAGGATGAAAATATTGTGGGTCTTAGAATTAGAAATCACACACCCGTGTCCAATTAAAAAAATTAGGATATTACCCAGGGATTTCAGGTAGTAAAGACAACTACCTGAAGAGTCCTAAGTGCTTCCTGTCAGAAAGGGTTGTAAGAGTGAAAAATGCCTGTTGCATTCCTGGATACAAGGCCCTGGTCCAGCCTGGCCCCTTGGTCATACTTGAATGTCTTCCTTCATGATGGAAAACGTGAGAATGTTATTCATTAATAACTGTAT